TTAAAGTTATTGCCTGAAGCATTGGAAACCAACATACCTAGTACTGATGAACAATTTAACTCCTGACAGATTGGGATGATCTAACAAGTTCCCATACAGTTTTATGCCAAATATAAACTTTTGAACTTCTATTCTTCATTTTTCATGATTGATCTAAGTAACATGTGTCTTTCAATTAATTTTCATGATTGATCTAAGTAACATGTGTCTTTCAATTAATTTTCATGATCGATCTAAGTAACATGTGTCTTTCAATTAATTTAGAAAATTATACAAGTTATAATCCAAAGCCTTTCAAATTTGTTTAAACTGCCATATCGTGAAAACCAGAATAAAAGTAAACAATGAAATTAGGAAATAAAAAAGGTGAGCTAAATGAATGCCGTAATAGCAATTTTAACTAGTTCGGATTCCACGAAAAACTAAGATGCAAATTTAAAAGTACGTCTCAGTTAGAACAAAAATTGAATTTTTCACTTTGAAGAAACTCATGGTTGCTGTTAAATATTTTATGATTTTTTTATTCGAAGACTTTCCGATATGTGGGAAGCTGTGGGTTTATGAAAGACTAGTAGACCAAGAACTGCGAGGACCGCTTCCACGAGACACCATCCGATTGGTCAGAACAAGAGAAGAGTGTGAAAGTCGTTGTCTTCAAGAATCCCGATTTCGTTGCGTTGCAGCTAACTATTACAGCTCTCGCCAAGAATGCACGTTATTTACTGAAAGCAGAGAGTCCAGAAACGGACAGCTAGTTCCAGCACGTGGAGTTGAGTTTCTTGAAAACCAGTGTAACTTAGGTACTCTCTTACTACGAAGAAAGTTTTTTTTAATGTGATTTATCAACTTCGTTTATATTACGTGTTTTATGATTTACCATGATGATAATTTATGAAAAGAGACTAAACATTATCAAGAATAATCAAATAATAATATAATGATACAGAAAACTTAAGAATAGTAATGCTGTAGTAATTCGTAGTGTTTTTTATTAAATAATTATTACAAATCATATAAAAATGAGCAAATCATAATAAGACTAAATATTATATTTAAATAATGCAATACGGTGTTGTTTAATTTAATAGAAGGGGAGGTTTTAGTTTTTATTTTACTATGATGTATTAATTTGTAATATTTAGATTTCATATCTATTAATTATATGTTAATTTTTAAGTGTTTAATGTATTTCTAGTGTTGGCAAACGATAAGTCTGCATTCGTCACGATTGACACTAAAAATAAAGAAACAACTATCACCCAAAAATTAAAGTTTTAGAGTGGCTTAGTAAACCAATTTTATTATGTGACGTTTACAATTATTGCTCTTACTGAATAATTGGATAGAAATTCAGCCTTTACGACTTGGAAGCAAAACCGTTTCGTTGCACTTTCGTACACATTTATCGAAACGCCACTTCTCTTTCACGTAGTTAAATCAAGTGGTCCCTTTGTTATATTCACAGAGAACCAGTCAAAAGAAATAAAAAAATACCGAAGAAATAGAAAATGTATCACTTTTCTAAAACTTTCCTGTGCCTAAAACAAATGTAGATGATAGGACCGAATTTCTATCCAAAAGCCCAGAAATGTTGTTAATAAAAATTTCCTATCGTACTTTATGAAAAAAAAATCATCAGTTTCAAGTGTTTAAGTAGCTTACACCTGTTTATCTTGACTCAAGTTTTAAGATTCATTGCATGTATTTCCGTAGCTCCGGATATTAAATAACGCGTTCTCTAAGTAAACTAAGGACTGCTTAGTTTTTCAACTTTAGTTTCATTTGTTTATATTAATGGTATTTTATAAAGTATATGCATTTACTAGTTTCATTTACTTTATTTTAGATATATCCAGATGCTCATATAAACAGGTTGAAAGGGATCAATTCATGTTATATACCACTAAATCAGTGCCTTCAGCGTCCTCTACATTCCAATGTGAGCAGGAATGCAACCAGGAAAGAGAATTCGCATGTCGTTCCTACACATACGTTGAACAAGGTGGTTTTGTCGGAGGAAACCAGTGCTTGTTAAGTAGTGAGAGTCGAGAGACAAACCAAGAGAGGGCACTTCAGTTCCGATCCCGAGCTTTGTACACTGAGAAAAACTGTAAGAGTGATTCTGGCACAGTTCTTCCTACACTGCCAACATTACCTCCTTTTACCTCTTACTCTCCTTTTCCTCCTGCTCCCTCACCCCAAGAAAGCTGTTGGTTGGATAAGTACACATATGAGAAGACAACAGGATACGATCTTCAGAGTGGACGAAGGGAGCTTATCCGTGTGCGAGGTGCTGTGGGAATTATTGGGGAATGTCAAAATGCGTGTCAGCGGTTGGGGGATAGGTGTCGAGCTTTCGTGATCCAATATGGAGAATATCAGCGATGCTTCTCGTTGGACAATGCTGCTGGTGATAATTCTGATGCCCTTACCTCTTCCCCCCTCATGACGTATTTCGAAAAGATATGTTTAAAAGGTAATTGTGTTATGGATCGAAACTCTGTTTTTGTGACACAAACTGAGAAAAAAGAAAAAAAAACAGTTTCATTAAGACTTTCTAAGGGGTTAAAATTATGTTTCACTGTCAAAAAGCCTTAAATGTTTTTACTTGATTTATTTATTTTTCCAACAATCGTAGAATATTGGGGAAATTATTATATGTTTTTTTTCATTTGTTTTAGTTTTTAATATAATATAAAACTTACATTTATGAGAATCAAGTTCGTGTAAATCTTTTGATGAATTTCCCTTAACTTTTCCAGCCCCCCAGTGGCACAGCGGTATGTCTGTGGACTTACAACGCTAGAAACCGGGTT